TCTTTAAAGAGAGGCCGTATAGTTGTCTTCCCAGCAGAAAACCAGCATAATGATCTCCAGAAACACACTTTACACTTGCTGTTCTCGCACTCTGTATATTCCCACAGAATCAGATATATACTGCACAAAGGCCAAGCCCACAGGAACAAATAGAAACACAGACAATTAAAAAAGGTGTGGACCTTTCACGGACTGAATCAAATGCTAAAACACACTCACTTGTCTTGCACACACCCATGAGAAGCTTATTTAAAGCAACATAACTCCTGTAGTCAAACCGGCTCACGAAGCACTGTGTACACAGCTCGATTGGATTGGATAGGCAGATGTTTGCTCAATGCTTTTTCAGTGTCTAATGTCTTGGATGGCGGGGGCTATAACAGATCATAGATAGAGATCATAGATAGCAGGGTCAATAATATAATGGAACCAAAAGGATGATGGGCTTTGCAGAGGCGAGAGAAGGAGAGAAGAAGAATGAGATGCGGGGAAATAAACAACAAACGACAGGGGCTGCAGAGGAAAAACAAACTGTGTATTGGGTCACAGCGTTCAAAGGGATAGAAAGACGACCTGGGGGAGGGGGGGGGGGGGGGACGTTAAAAAGCAAGACGACTGAGAGCGAAAGCGTGAGGTGGTGAGAGCGAGAGTTTGGCCGAGTGCTTACAGGAAATAGTTCTGTTTGATGAGTAAATATTGAATCAGCGAAATCCCATCTCTAACACAACTTGACCCACCCTCCCCCCGTGTCACTCTCTCTCCCTGTGTTAACAGTAAACAGAGACATTTGACCTACATTCTGCGGCATGAACACATTTATGAAACAAATCGACACCATGGAAACATCATCTGCACAATACAAGAGGAAAACAGGAACCCATTGAGGGGATCTGCTGAATGGGGGAAGCTGACAGATCGGCTGATACCCCCCCCTCCTGCGTCTTACTGCAGGTATTTAAGTGGGTCGGTGGTCATTTGCAGAACGTGTGACACCCCTCCTGATTCTTTGGTGAAGGGTCTGCCTGGGCCTGCTGTGATTTAAGATGCCTGCAGGGGCTCTTCTCTCATTCACTCTCTCCCCCTCTCTTGATCTTTCCCTACCTCTTCCTAACCTCCTTTTCAGGCCTGTCTCTTTCTTTCAAAGAATGAGCGATTAGAGGGGGTCCCCGGGTCAGAGAGGGAGGTCTTGGGTTTGACCTTAGGTATGTAGCGTCGCTCTATATCTTGCTTTGAGATTGCTGCCTCCTATATTTAAGACGTCCTGTTTGACTCATGGAGTTTCACCATAGAGTGTGTGGGAAGTATGAGTCACAGTATTTGTGCTTACTAAAAGGTTAATTCCAGTTTATTTAGCTATCGTTTAACAGTCGTTAGGGGGTTGCATAACCACAAAAGAATCCTTCGAGCCACTGCCTAAGAGTTGTGTTTGGTTTGGGCTCACAAACCATTACCTTCTGTGATTGCCTTGCTGAGGGATATTTACGTTTGCCTTCAGTGTACACAAAACAAGCGGGCAATCCGAAGAGTTGTGTGTTTGTATATTGCTGTCAACATTCGTATTGTGTAAGCTTCGAAAACCAAGATCCGTAAAACCACGTTCTATTTGTGAGGTCTACCACAAATGATCTCATAAAGATTTAGGCATGCATGTTTGTTCTGTTGAGTTAGGAGACAAAGGAAATGTTTCACTACAGTCCCTGCAAGTATTATCTTTGTGTTTTTGCATTGGTGTGTGAATGTGTGTGTGAGAAGATCAGTCAATGTCAATGTCTGTGGAATTCCTCAGTAACTCCACCGGATCCGACGAGTTGACGACCATCAACAGTTGGTGTGAACACTTAAAATCCCATACAGTGTGATACAACAAAACGCTGGGTTAAAGGCAGAGATGAATTAAAAAGGGGCCATAGCATAGTATGCTCATGTTCAGGTTCATATTTGTATTTTGTGCCTTTGATTTTAACCTTTGCAGATCATTTACATGCACACAAACCTATATTACACACTACAGGAAAGGGAAAACTACAAATAACTGTATCGGGCACCTTTCAAACAAACCAAGACCTCTTCACTTTTTGTTAAATAGTTCAGATTATGACAGTAAAAAATTGGCCGCTCTGCCCGCCACATTCCTGGCACGCGGTTTAAGTGGCTGCTGCGAGAGTGTGTTAACATCTGTTTGTTGCAAGACTAAATTAGAGGACTAATCAAGGCATAATGCACACCAGTTGTTTAGGATGCCATTCTAAATGGAGGGCAAAGCTGTGTCACTAATCACATCCTTTCTCTGTGAGTCTCCTTTACAGGATGTCTCTGTGAGAAGGAGAGAGACTGGTAGGCAGAACGAGTGAAGGAGAAAGGTGGAGGAACTGGTGTGCTGTGAAACGGCTGAACAGCTGTTTATCCTTGATGGGAAAGAAAAGACTGAAAAGAGAAATCCGTAAGAGATGAGGAGGCAGACAAATAAGATACATCTGTATTCATTTCATAGAGGAGAATGAGAGAAGAAAAGCCACTTTTATGTAATTAAAGCACAATAGTGTGTCTATAGACGCGGCTTTTAAGGTTCAGCAATAGATCTGTTAATCAAACAAGTCAAGAAAAAGAAAGTGATTGACTCACATATAAATAAAAGGTTAAAAGGAATAAATTAGCTGCATGTCAAACTCATTTAGCTCACTACATCTACTTTCAGTAAGTGTATCAACACATACAGATGGCATAATATAATGTGAAGCCCTCAATGTAAACCTAATATATAATTACGGGAACATTTCAATTAAAAATGAAACACTCTGATTCTACTGGACCAGAATTACCTGCAGACCTCATATGGTTTACGAATGTAAGCCGGCATCTGTTTCGTGCGACGCGTTTCAAACAGGAAACGCTATTCAGTTGGAGTTTATTTATTTAAGGGAGGTTCGTTGATTTTAATATTGAATGTGCTGATTAGTGATTTTAATCCCGTCTGGAGTGCATATGTCAATGTTTCGCTTTAGTCCACACCAGTATTAATTACAGTTCCAAATATCTACAGTTTTCTGGCATGCTTTTCTACCATTTGTGTCCAATTCAGACAGGAAACCTTTCACAGTGTTTAGTTTTTGTTCTTTTCCTGTTAGTGAATTTATCAGCAACACTGTTTGAGTTCCAGATGGGGCTTACATTTGATTTTCACTCAAATGTTATAATTAAAGAAGCATTTTTCCCATTTTCAACCATAGTAGGGCAGTGTGTGCAGACCAGCAGAGCCCAAACCGCGACCGTTATACACCCAGGAGCAACTGTGTTAATCTACTGGCAAAACTCCACTGCGTTTTTACATTTTGATGGCAAATAAGCATCTGCACACACTTTGGTCGAACAAGGCCTGCCAAACAGTATCCCTTTAATATTCTTTCACTGAAAAATGCTATAAAACCTTGGTTATGGATTTCAACTGCAGTCTCAATAACTCACTTTTCCCAGCTAGCAAAAAGATACAAAGACATTGAGGTGCTGATCATCAAGTCACACAAATATAAAAGAGATGGTTCTATGATGAAGGTCATTTCTCATAAAACATTTCTATTGAGGACATTTTACTTGGTTTGAGGTGGTTTCCTGTATTCCAGTATAATGGGGTGTCAGATCTCTCACTGTGTTCAAGTGCTCAGTATTCAGCATGATACAACACGTCTGGGCTTAGTAAAAAAGATTAAGTTACAAAGAGTCCTTCAAAAAAAGCGATGAATACACCTGAAGGACTGCGCGGTGGCCTCCGCATTAAGTGTGTGTCCGCAAATCTGTAGAATGCTAATGACCATCATTGTATCGGTTAGCCCTGAGCTAACGCTGTCACCAGTGCATTATCTTTCCACTCTAAGGAGACTTTATGCTAGCAGACAGGCTTGAGGTTAAGTGTGGCCAGGGGCCCCTTAGAGAAGTGCCAAGAGAGAGCTGGTGGCCCCATAAGCTCAGGCCGCACAGAGCTCTCTTAGCCCCTTCGCGCAACACAGCTAGCCATTGTGCTAGGCTGAAAAAGCGCATTAGCCGCAGAGAAAAGGGCTTCCCCTCTGAAACCCCCTTGGACAACAAGCAAAGCTCTGCTTGATAATTCAATCACTCTCCGAGCAGTGTAGGGCAGACACCTCTCGACACCTTTCCTCAGAACCCTCCTCCCCGCCTTTCCCTCGTGTCCTCCATTAGGTAACTGCCCTATATTTTACAGATGCTGTCATTCCTACCGCTTATCAAAGGACAATAGAGGAATGATGCCTGTGAGAGACTCATTGACATTTGAATGTATGCAGCAGTGTGAATTATGGCTGTGTGCAATGGGTACTGAGAAAGGGCATAAGAAGGTAGAGACGTGTGTGTGTGTGTGTGTGTGTGTGTGTGTGTGTGTGTGTGTGTGTGTGTGTGTGTGTGTGTGTGTGTGTGTGTGTGTGTGTGTGTGACTGGAGCAGCATCAGGGCATTGCAGGGGGCAAAAATAAATGACTCACAAGCAACCGAACCTCAGCGCGGAACATGTACACACAAGAAGCAAATCACAGAAAGTCCGTCTGCGATAGTTTGTCCTCCGTTGGTCAGATCCGTCCTCTGACAGACTTTACGTCTCCTTTTTGACAAAGTGAGTCCCGAAGCAGCAGCAGCAGCAGCAAGGATAAAGGGCAAAAAACCCTCTTTTGGACCCCAACCCAACCCTTTTACCCCACCCATGGGTCCAGTTCGTCCCTTATTATCTCCTCCTTCTTAGGTTCACTCCCCGTCAATCTCCTCAGTCTCAACAAATAAGTTAAAAAATACAAAAATAAGAAGCAATCAATGACAAAGCAAATGTAAGAGTGAGAGATGGAGGGAGACAGAAAGTAAAAGATGCTTTCTACTTGAGAAGAACTGCCTCTGGAGCTCTGTAGCAAATCCCATGCATAATCTATTTATATCCTTAAGGTGGAATAACACCAACAGGACGAGCACAAAGGGACCAGTAGTGGGAGGGTGGGGTGGTTTCAAGCAGGAGAAGAGGGACATTCAACAGTCATTCTTGTTCCCTTTCTTTCCTTAGAGTGTGGGGCGTTTGATTGGTCCATAAGTCCACTTTGCCACCGACTCCCATCACCGGCAAGTGTGCATCTCCACCATTTTGCGGCACTGTTTGCATTTGACGTAGCAGCACCAGTGGAATTTGCAGCTGCACCGGTCCACCACCTCCACTTCCTGAGTCTGGAAACCTCGTCCACAGCACATCAGCTCGCACCCGTCTATAGCCTTTGATGTTCGGTTACACTGACGTCCAACCGTGCCAAACATTCCCGGCGTTTTGGGGTCGTGGTCGCAGAAATCCGGACTGGGCTCAAGGTAGACCAGATCTTCGTCCGTGTGCGGTTTGAACTGGGAGTTTCGAGGCATGAGGACTTTAGTGGTGCCCGCTTTACGCTGCTCCACCTCAGTGGCACCGTCAAACTTCTCCTTGATGACGTTGCCCACTTTGCGGAAAGGCGGCATGGCTTTCCAGCAGGTTTTCACCTCGCAGGAGCCGGACACACCGTGACATTTGCACTCCACACGCATGTGGGACAGGATGGCCTAAAGAGACACCAGAGAACCTTTGGTTAGCCAAACAGAAACTTGGAATAATGTGACGGCATTATATGATTCAAGAAAGATAACCACTATGGCTAGTTGCAGCATTAATAGATTCAATCAAAAAATCAATTTTGTTTTTATTTTGACCTAAAACTGACTTTTTATGTCATAAAACATTACTCAAAACTGGTGAAGTAGCAGATCAACTGGAAATATACAGTATGCCTTTACTTATTAGAAACTAAATTATAACAACATAATTGATTGAATCATGTGTCACCCACATAGATAGGTAGGTAGGTAGGTAGGTAGGTAGGTAGGTAGGTAGGTAGGTAGGTAGGTAGGTAGGTAGATAGATAGATAGGGAGATATATAGATAGATAGATAGGTAGATAGATAGATAGATAGATAGATAGTTAGTTATTTAGATAGATAGATAGATAGAGAGATAGATAGATAGGGAGATATATAGATAGATAGATAGGTAGATAGATAGATAGATAGAGAGATAGATAGATAGATAGATAGGTAGGTAGGTAGGTAGGTAGGTAGGTAGGTAGGTAGGTAGGTAGGTAGGTAGGTAGGTAGGTAGGTAGGTAGGTAGGTAGGTAGGTAGGTAGGTAGGTAGATAGATAGATAGATAGATAGATAGATAGATGGGTGGATATATAGATAGATAGATAGATAGATAGATAGATAGGTAGATCCAATAATCTCTTAAATGCTGACTGTCTGTGCTAACAATCACAACTACAACAACATGTTCTACAACCAAGACTTGAGACTTGGACTCAAGGCAAATAAAGGCTTGGGAATTGATTTTGAATTGACTACTGTGAAACTTAACATACTGCATTTTGTAATTTATTTTCCACAAATACTAGTCTCTAGATGTGACTTGAAACTTGACAGAAACTCTTGTTTTTTTTAGTCTTACCTTGGAGTTGTCTTGATTGAATTGAGACTCAACTCCGACTTGTTTCATATGACTTGATTACTTAAATGAGTTGAAAATAGAACTTCACTTCAAAATTGGAATTGAGCATTTGAGTAACTTAAGACTTGGACTTGTCATAAATAAACTAAGACTTGGCTTGGACTTGGTCTTAAATGACTTGACAGTATTTGCACTAAAATATTTCAGACTGTCTATTCTTGACTTGTTTTCATGTCTTTAAAATTGCCTTTGATGATGCAGATATTGATTGTCTTGCCTTATTTAATTGTATTTCTCCGTCCTTAAAGAAGCGCAGTGTTCTACAAAAGGTTCTTGTTCACAATTAAAGTCAAGGACAGCTTTACCTTCCTGCCGGCCTCGTTGTTGTGCAGGTTCATGAGCGCCCGATTGGACGACTGGCCTTTACTCCTCTCCCTCACATCCACAAAGGACTGGGAGAAGGCCACTCCGTATGCAATGTTATCACTGCAGCCCGACCACTGGAACCCTGGGGAATTACGGGAAGTGGTTACATTCATGGCTTAAAACATTTAGACAGAGATGGCAAAAGTACACACATTCAAGTAGAAGTACAGATACCCGTGTTTAAAAATACTCTGGTAAAAGTAGAAGTACTGACTAAACTCAAGTAAAAGTAAAGAAGTATGGGCTTTGAAATGTACTTCAGTAAAAAGTACCCATAACTAGCAGCTGTTTTAAAGAGTACCTGACCTCCCTTTATATTAATAGAACAATAATGTCATTGTTAGCTAATGAATGTTTCCATGCTGAACAACGGCAACATGACAACGTTTTCATTGGTCCCTCTTCTTTAGAGAAGACCAGGAAATGATGGATACACGGATCGTGTTCAAATCAATAGGCACGCAATGACTCTAAATAATAATGATCACGCCACCAAACACACATTCAAACTAAAGGAACCAGCCTGTTTGGAAAATGAGAGAAGTAGAAAGTACAGGTATTTGTGTTCAACATGTAAGAAGTAGAAAGTACAGGTATTTGGGTTCAACATGTAAGAAGTAGAAAGTACAGGTATTTGGGTTCAACATGTAAGAAGTAGAAAGTACAGGTATTTGTGTTCAACATGTAAGAAGTAGAAAGTACAGGTATTTGGGTTCAACATGTAAGAAGTAGAAAGTACAGGTATTTGGGTTCAACATGTAAGAAGTAGAAAGTACAGGTATTTGGGTTCAACATGTAAGAAGTCAAAGAAAAAGTGGAGTAAAGTACTGATACCAGAAAAATGTACTTAAGTACAGTAACAAAGTATTTGTACTCTACTACTTCCCACCTCTGACTTTTGACAGCACTACACTATTTGACATCGACTCCAGTGCTTCTTTATTGGTGGTTCTGTGTAGTAATGCGTGATATCGATATTGTTAAAGATGTGGCTAAACAAACATGGAGTTCAGACAACATAAATAATGAAAACAAACAAATTATTTTTAATGTCAAATCGTTAAATCTTTGAAATGATTGCATTCAAATATGCTGGATCAGTCGGACCTAGTTTTTTTGTTGCATGAATGTGTACAGTATATTTGTGTGTGTGTGTGTGTGTGTCGGGGTGTGTGTGTGTGTGTGTGTGTGTGTGTGTGTGTGTGTGTGTGTGTGTGTGTGTGTGTGTGTGTGTGTGTGTGTGTGTGTGTGTGTGTGAAACAGAAAGCTAACCTACCCTCTGGACTGACTCCATGAACATTGTGGTCACAGCCACATTTTTCCAGCTCTCCGCTGCTGCAGGCCCTCGTGACCGCAAACGCCACACTGGCTGCTGAGATGGCGTACACAAAGGCTGCCTCACGGGTGCCTAAACACACACACACACACACACACACACACACACACACACACACACACACACACACACACACACACACACACACACACACACACACACAGACAGACATATTGTTACATTATGTAAAGAGGTTGTATCAAAGTCTCATGGAAGGTGCCCAGACACCATTTTTTGAAATGCAATATCAAAGATTATTCAGGAATAAGTCCTAAAACCGAGGAATGATTTATTGTTTTACCAATTCCTGTTCCCTCAACTGGAAGTCAATGGTTTGTTGAATGTGTTTTTGTTTTATCGTAGATGCCTGAAATATGGTATGTTGTTAACACAAGCTTACAAGTGTTTCCACACTTTGCTCTGCAACGTTAAATATGTCAGCAAATACCACACTTGTGAATATTCAAAGCTCCTTTGTGTCATAAAACTCTGGTAACAAACAATTGACTTAATAAATATCCAGACCACAAGTATGCCGTTCATTTTGCGGTGGTGAGATGCAGCCGCGCGACTTATTTCTTAATTTGTTTTACACTTAAAAAATAATAAAAGTTGTGTAAATATGTGAAGATTATCCTACTCAACTGTTAGAAAAACCTCACTGGTCACCGGCTTGAGTTTCAATATCAGAATACATGGAGTTATTATCCTTGCAAGAATGGAAGTAGTAATCTCAATAAAACGTGTAAGTATAAAATCCGATTGG